GGGGGGAATCTAGAAAGTCTAGGTTGTTTTTCTAAAATTATTATTTTTAAATTGGGGGATGCAGAGGAAACCACTATAATTGAACATATACTAGCTTATTCATCAGGGTGGTTGCAACGGGTGACATTTTAGGGATGTTTCTGGGCCAACCATGAATATGGTACCTACTCAATGTGGTCACTAGGTGGCAAATAGGCAAGCCCTCCTTTCTGTTTCTCTCCCTTCTCTGTCTCCCAATGCGTCTCCTCCTGCCAAAGGGCAAAGAGTTCTAACAACAGTAGCAAGGACATCAACCAAAAAGAGGAGGTACTATTTGTTTCTAGTCCTTCTAAATGCCAAGGACAGTAATAAACCCTGATTATCTCCGATAGCTTCAGAAATGACCTTGTGTTTGCACATGGTCTATTCTTTTTTTTTTTTAACACACATTTGACTCAGTGGTAATCCACCACCACCACCACCACCATGTTATAAGCATGCATTTTGCTGAGGAAAAAATCTAACTTTAACCAGCTAAGCATGTCAGCTTTAGCAAAAATAAACACTCAAACTACACACACACAAACACACACACACTAGCAGTGACGGTGGCAGCAGGAGCAGCATCTATACTGTACCAAGCAGTAGGCTACATTCTCCATCTCACAGAATGCTCACAACAGTTCTAAGAACTTGGTGCTAATGGTACTCCCATTTTACGAGTGACAAAGGAGGCCAAGGGCTGGCTCCAAATTGCTGGGCTCGAGCTGAGGTGCGAGCCCAAGTGGTTTTGTGCTTGTTTTTACCCTCGATGGTCATGTACTTAAATACTACCTTGGGTGCTGTTTGACGTGTGTATATGTGTATTTTTCTCTATCTGACACCACATGTGGTTGTCTGCCCACAGAAACACACACATTCACAAGACCACGTGTATGCACATGTTTACATTCCTATGTGGTTTTGTGGATGTTGGTGCATAGGTATCAGTGTACATGTGTCGATGTTTCGCTTGGTGTCATGGTCGAACCCATGTACACATCTATTTGACCATGTTGGCACATGAATAGCTGTGTGGGCATTTTTATATTTGATGTCCACTTAGTACTTGCGTGTGTCCATCTTCATGGACTCACCATTGTGGACATAGGAATGCATATTTGACCTTTGTTTGGGGGTATATGTCCACTGTGTATGTGCATTGGGGTACCTGTAGCTATTTGCCTGTGCATGAGTGAAGTTTTGAGTGTGTTTCTATCTGGACTGCTTGGGCATGTCTCTTATCTTTGTGTTTTTAGGATGTGTGCTTGTGTATGTGTATACCTGGCATCTGAGCATTTGTCCCATGTTCATCGTGGTATGCACATGCAGAGCTCTGTGTATGTGCTTGTCAGGAGAGTCTGAGGGTGTCACCATCCGAGTGAGGGAAATCCTGTTTCCACAGCTATGTACACACCCTTGGCAATGGAACTCTAGCTAAACCCCACGTGTACATATGAGGGGACTTGAAAAAGTTCATGGGAAAAAACTATTATCTTGTAATTTCATTTTTCCATCAATTTTTGAAGCCTCCTCGTATCTCTCCAAGAGTCTCTCATGGGCTTAAGAGAGTGCTTATGTCTATGCAGACATGCTTAGTCCTCGTGTTTACTACCTGCAAGTATCAATTGTGCCAGTGTCCTGTCTGCATGTTTGCATATACATGTGTATACATAACATATGTGGGTGTGAATCTGGGTCTGGGTTTGAACCTGTATATTATTTTAATATATTTTCCCCATTATGTAACAGTTTTGTTGACTTAATTCACATCTAATACAATTCAATAGTTCAATCATATTAAAAAGAATTGGGCAATCATCACATGAGCCTACACACACTCTTGTCTGTAAGTCTCCTTACGTGACTAGATGCCTCTGTATTCACATGTGCATGTGTGTGACTTTGTGTACTTCTTTTGAGCCTCAAAGTGAGTCAGAAGCACACACCTGTGTAGATTTTTGTGTGAACCACTGAGCCTGCACCTACGTGTACATGTGGTTGAAAGAGTATGCATCTCTATATAGATACCATAACATCTCTATATAGATACCATGATATCTGTGAATATATATATGTAGAGATCTCTTGGGGTTCATGTCTGCCTTACCCATATATACATCTATATATCTCATTGTGTTCACGTGTAGGCCTCCGGTAGCACTGTGGGTTAGACAGTGGGCTACTAACCACAAGGAAGCATGCCCTTGTTCCTTGTGTTGGAAGGCTAGGCTGTTCATTGAAGCCACGTTGATGTGGCATGGTACAACTTTGTATATAGGGAAACTGTGTGCTGTTGGTCGTTTCTAGGAGTTTGGGGGTGAATTCTTTGTGTTTTGGGGGCAATGTGATATTCTGGGGGTGGGGAGGTGTAGAGCCTGTATGTGTGTGAGGTAGGATGTGGGCATGTCTGTGCAGGATAGTATGTGTCTAGGTGCTGCCTTGTATGGCTAGGCAGAGACTGTGTGGTGGATGCTTCTAGGTGTTGTGGGCTCTGTGCTTGTTGTAAGGAAGAGTCGTGAGAGTATGCAGTGGGCTGGTTCTGTGCTCTACAGGGGACACTTTAGGCATTGCCGCTGATCCTGGTGGTTTTGGAGTGAGCCTTATCAATATGCTTCTTCTTCAGCTAGCAATGACAAGAATAACCAACAACAGCAAAATCAATGAACCTCCGCAACACCAGTTCGACACCAGGCAAAGCTCTATATACTTTACAGGCATGAGCTCACCAAATCCCCAGAACATCCCTATGAGGTGGCTACCATTATTGCTATCATTCCAGACCTGAGAAAATTAAGGCACAGAGAAGCTGAGAAACTTTTCCAAGGGCACATAATTAGCACATGCTACAAATGGGATGGGAACGCAGGAAGTTCTGAGACTTGATTGTAGCCTGCTAACCATTATGCTTTCCTGCCTCCTTTGCTTAGTGAATACAGTGTGAAGCACTCTGCTTAGTGGCATGGCTCAGGGCCTTGTGGAGTATGCTTCGTGTTCTGGAGCCCCGAGGTATTGCACCATCTCTTGAAACACTACCGTGCAGCCTTGTGGGATAGGGCTTATCGGGGGGAAACTGTCTTGCACCATGCTTGGAAGGGGTGATGTCAATGTTTGCACCGGAGGCGGGGGATTTCTACTGTGGGCAGTCTCTGTGATCTAAAGGAAAGCTTCGTAGTGGGGACAGGCTACTGTCAGTTGCCTGGGCATTACATGTGCTTAGAGGCATGTCTCCTTTGAAAGGGCTTATTGGCTGCCCAGTCTTTACATTTGTCTCTGGGCCAGGTAGAGTGAATCTGGATAGTGGATCTGGATAGTGTTTCAGTCTAAGTGTGTGCTTAATAAAGGCCACCATCGAGTTGTGAGGCAACTCTCTGAGTTTTGTGGGTGGGAAGCCCATGTGCGCTTCTCTGAGTTTTGTGAGTGGGAAGCCCATATGCGCTATGGGAGCTACCGATATACTTTAAGGCATCTCTAGATACGTTGAGGCCTATACTGTGCTGTGCCTCTAGGGGTTTTGTACAGGTGTGTGCATGTGCATGTATTTGGTGTGTGCTATGTTTGCACATGTGGGTCCTGTCTGTGTTCATACAAAGCGTCTTCATATTATGGGGCATATGGGTATGTTGGAGGCAAGTGGGCATTTGGAGGAAAACAAGTTTGTGATTCATATGTAGAGGGAGGCTGTACTTTCTGTAATGCCGAGCACTGTGAACCTTATCTGTACACACGAAAGTATCGACAAGAGTCTTAGAATAAGTAATGCGTGTTATAGCGTGGCCTCTATATCCATGAGGCAAGACATAGCTTTCTGGGGAAATAACTTGTGCTGTGGGTAGACCATGGAAGTTAAGCATGATGTAGTTCTATGTACTGTACAGAGTGTGTCTGCACAGAAAAGGATTTGTCTAGGTATTATGGACCAATTTTGTGTCTGAGAGGCCCATGATCTTTGCATCCCAGTTTTCCTGGGAACTCTTTGAAGCCCCCTGGGATTGTCCAGCATGTCAGGTCTCACTGCCATCAAGTCTACTCTGGCTCACAGTGATTCTCTAGGACAGAGGAGAGCTGCCCTTTGGGTTTTCAAGGAGAGCTGCCCTTTGGGTTTCCCCTTAGAGTGGCTGGTGGGTATGAACTGCTGACCTCATGCCGAGCAGTTCAGTGTGTAGCTCACCACACCACCAGGGATCCTTAGCATGTAGGGTGCTTCTAGCAAAGTATGTGCATTGCGGTGATCCTGAGCACCATAGGTACTAGTGCCTGTGGTGACCCTGAGCACCATAGGTACTAGTGCCTGTGGTGACCCTGAGCACCATAGGTACTAGTGCCTGTGGTGACCCTGAGCACCATAGGTACTAGTGCACTGTGGTGACCCTGTGCATCATGGGTATTAGTGCATTGTGGATGCGTCTGCATGCTGCCAGGGAAGTCTTGGTATTGTGCCACGAGGCCTGGCACTATGGAGTGTTTTTTTGCATTTAGGAGGAGGGTAGGTTGTTGGCTACATCTGGGCATAATAGGGGGGTGGCGGGTGTGGGTGGAGATGTAATGCTATCAACTGTATAAGGGAGGTGCTGTACGTATATAGGCTGTGTTTTTGTTCTGGGTCTGCCAATCGTTGGGTGCACCATGCTCTGTGGGAGGAGGGTGTGCCACCTGTGGTGCGAGCTGCTTCTGCGGGTTGGGCATGTGCTGACAGCACAGGGAGAGCGGAAACCTGGTGGGTCCCAGTTTTGTTTCCTGCTGGTTGCTTCTAGCTGAGTGATGGGATGGGTCTGGTGGGGTGAGTGTTTGCATGGTGAACACACCCACGTGCAGTCGGATGAGTCTGTGGTGCTGTGAGGAGCATGGGGCTTAGGGTTCTGCCTGTGCTCTCTGGGGCATGCAGGTGCTGTGGTGGACTTTGTGTGTGCTATCATGTATTGAAGGATGATGCTAAGTTTGGGGGGCAGGAGCTTTGTGTTTTCATAGTAGAGGTGGTGGGAAGGAGTAAGGGACTGACAGGAATATAAATGAGTGCTTTCAGCCACGTCTACGGGCTGCCCTAGGATCTTGACCTATCTCAATGCCTTTGGAGTAAGCACGCTTGCCATGTCCATTTCACAGGTGGGCAAACTGAAGAACTGAGAAAGGGACTTACCCCAGGTGAGACAAAGAGAAAAGGGTGGAACTTGGATTCCAACCTCCGTGGGCTGAGTCCAGACACCAAGCTGTCTCTATGTTGCAGGCCAGCGTTGTAGGTGAATGAGTGGAATCCATCCATTCCACGAATGGAATCTTCACACTCCGGGGACAATCTGGCTGCGGTGTGTTCTTGTGCACTGGAGAATAGGTTTGTGCCGGGGCGCAATGCTGGGAACAGTGTCCTGGAGAACAGACTGTGAGTACATTAAGGCGAGGTGGGGTGTCGAGAGAAAGAGCCTGTGTGTACACACCTCAGCCTACTGGAAGGATTTGCAAGTACCAGGAAACCATCTGTGTGACCCAGAAGAGTATGCATGTGCCAGGAGCAATCTGTTTGTGCTGAGAGAGCCTGTGTTACCAGAGGAGAACCTGAATATCACCAGCAGAGTTTGGGTGTACCAAGTGAGTCTATGTTGGCTGGGAGAGACTGCATGTACCAGGAGAGTCTGGGTGTATCAGGTCAATCTTCATATTCTGGGAGATTGTGTGTATACTGGGAGAGTCCGGGTGTCGTGGAAGACTGTGGGTTTACTGGGAAAATTTGCAGGAACCTGGAAAGCCTACATAGACCAAAAGAGTCTATGTACTAGGGAGAGTCTGTGTGGACTGTGGAGAATCTGGGTGCACGGGGAGAGTTCTGGCTACAATCGGTATGTACCACATGTACCAGAAAAGTCTTAGTGGAATGGGAGAGTATACATGTACCAGAGGAGCCTGTGTGAAGTGGGCAAGTCTGGATGGACTGAGAAAGTCTGTGCAGACGCAGGAGAGTCTATGTGCACCAAGAGGGTCTGCATGTACTGGGAGAGTCTGCAGGGTTCAGGGGAGTCTAGGTGCCATAGGGGAAATGCGTTTGCCTCGGTGGAGATCTCCGTGCCATGGGGCAAGTCTTGGTGCAGTGCTTTGAGCCTGAGTGCTGTGGGGAGCATCTGTGGGGTGTGCAGAGAGTTGAGGTGCTGTGGGATACATTTGTGGGCCATGCCTGTGTCCTGTGGGGTGTCCTGTTGCCTTGGGGGGAATATTGGTGCCCTGGGGAGAGCTTGTGTGCTGTAAGAAGCACAGCTTTTCGCTGTGTTGAAAAGATGTGTGTGTGTGTGTGTGTGTGTGTGTGTGTTTGTGTGTTCGAAGAGTTGGAGGGTGAGTTTGTGTTGCAGATATGGTTCCTGGGGTGGGGGGCATACGGGTTGAGTCTTTTCCTTTCAAGGCATGTGTGCCTCTGAGAGATTCTGGATGGTGTGCGGTATATCTATGTGCTGTGGGAATGAATGTGGGTTTGTATTATTTGGTCCATGTGAGCATTAGCACTGTGATGTTGTTCATCGTGACACAAGTCTGTTTAGTGGCAACGGTCCCTTAATGTTCACAAATCATAATCCAGTGCTCTCCAGTCAATTCTGACCCTTAGCAACCCTCTATCAAGATCCCAGGACTGTAAATCTTGATGGGAACAGCCAACTGCTATTGAGTTTGAACTGCTGACCTGATGGCTTGCAGTCCAATGCTTATCCAACAGCGCCACCAGGGATCCTTACACATAGCAACAGCCAACATGTATGTAAGTCATAGTTACTGGGTGCCAGACAAAGGGTGCTATTATTATTCCCCACGTTACATTTGAGGAACCCGAGGCACAGTGCAATTAAATCATATTCCTCTGGCCATCTACCTAGCAAATGAGGGGGGTTGAAGCCAAGCAGTCTGTCTCCTGTGCTTACACACTGATGCGTCCCCCTGGGGCTCAAACCCAGAGAAGCCTCCGTGATCTGTGGTAGACATAACACGAGCCATCAGTTAGGAGGCAGAGCAGAGGACTGACACAAAGATTTCCAATGATTTAAAACACAGCACTCTGTATACCATGACACTGGCAGTTTCAGGGGCTGGGGGTGTTGGGGGGATGACTCAATGTCTTCAGAGTAACTCCTTCAGCAACTCTTACCCCAAGACCCCTCCCCGTGGGCCCCTATGATGGAATCCTGCCAGTGCGGAGGACTGGATGTGCATGCCTGGGCAAAGTACAGTTGCCAAGGAAACTATTCTCCAGTCACAAACAAATCACAGCCTATGATAGCAGTTTGGGTGCCACTGGGGCCTTACGAGGAAAGTCCCTGGTAATGGGGACAGGACAGGCAAGACAGCCTCCTGTCCACACCCACAGCCATTCTTCTTCTTCTGATGATGATTATTATTCTCCTTCTTTCTCCTTTTTCTATCAGTAAAGGCTAAGATCCAGGGTCCGAATTCAAGAGGGAAAGAAGCTTTGTCAGAGAACGCAGCGGTGGGTCACTCACTCAATGCTGAGTCATCGCAAGCCAAAAGCCGTAAATCTTCATGGGGGTGGGACTAGAAAGCCTCATCTGTCTCCCATGGCGCAGCTGGTGGGCTTGAACTGCTGACCGTGTGGTGAGGAACCCAACATGTAGCCCACTGTGCCACCAGGGCTCCTCACTGGTGGAAGGGAGTGATTTTAATGGGCACATCGTTCTGTGAGCAGTATTTTACCTATTGCTCACTAAACATGTCTTTCTGTCTTGAGCCTTCCCTCTCAGGAAGAGATGGTGGCAGTGGTGCCATAGGGCCTTATCCTAACATCGTTCAATCCCTAGAACAGACTACTGCCAGCAACGGGCTGGCAACAGGCTTCTGCTGCATTCCTTACAGCATTCTAAAAAATGTCAGAAACTGAGTCCAAACAGCCTCACCTCTCCAAATACCCGAGGAGTAGAAAAAGAGGCTGACAGAGGAACCTTTAGGGCTAGTGCTAACCCCGGGGCATTTGGGGGTTATGTCGGTAATACATGAACCATCACATCAAGTGCGTCTACAGGGGAGCAAATTGAGGGCAGTGGTTTTATATATTTATATTCCATGAGTTTCATTTGTCAAAAGCCTTTCCTAAAAGGAAATTTTTAATATTGTAAATATAACCATTCTGTTTGAAATGACACCCAAATACACGTGCCATTAGCACCTTTGAAAGCCATAAGCATGGATCGAATGTGTTTGTGAGCTGCCAGAAAGTGCCAGAAGGTCCGGGTACAGATTGTACTCCGTAGCCATCTTAGGTGGAGAGAAAATGGCCAACCCCTGGAAAGCTGTGTCCTATCTAATGGGAGAGCAATGGTTGCCATTTCAAATCACTGAAGAGAGTTGGATTATTCAATAAATGATGCTGAAACAATTGACAACCTATTTGGAGAAAAAATTTAGATCCTACTTCATACCATACAGCAAAGTGAATTCCAGATGCCTTAAAGAGTTAATTATCCAAAACAAACGTGAATATGCTCGTGGAAGGAGACAGACAAATGATCAACAACTGATAGGTGTGAAGATCTAAACATGTACAACTGCAAAATGTCACCCAAAAACCCGCATAAGCATACACACTGAAAAGCAATAGACAAACAACTATTTATGATAAGTGAATCAGATAGTATGCATGGAAGTGGGTGGGAAACTGAAGCTGGGTCTTACCATTTGCTCCAGGAATTCCACGTCTACAAATTTATTCTGGGAGGGGAGGTGGGGTGTAGGAAAAACAGAAAAGCACACAAAGGTTTATATGGAAGGGTAGTCCTTAAATTGCTTTTGATAACAAAAAGATCACACACCTATACATTCAAGAATTGGACGTTGGGCATCTATTGGAACACCTATATGATCAAAAATTCTGCAGCCACAAAAAAATGCATTCTTATGGAATATTTTTAATAGAGAGCTGCTCCCATTATTCTATTTCATAAATCGAGCAGGTTCACACCCATGTGTACACAGGATCCTCATTTTATACACAAGTTTAAATTTCTATACACTTACCTGCATACCTTCAGAGAAAAAGCGCTGTGAGTAATTTTCCCTAGGTTATAGATGGTGGGTAATATTTACAGCCATTTTTACTTCTCCCCCCCCCCACCTCAAATTCCATACAGGGAGTGTGATCTTTTGATTTAAAATGGGGAGAACAGAGTTTCTAATGAGATCGTTTATTGAGCGCTGTCCACGTGGTAGGAACACAGAGAAGAACGTCCAGGAACAAAAAGTGACAGAGAAGATGGAAGATGCCCGTAGATACCGAAGTAGGATCAAGCCCAGTGAGCTCGTATGTACTCCAAACAGCCAGATTAGGAAAGCCTTTGCCCATTTGGTTGTAGGTAGAGCATTTCTGGTACAAGATGGAGACCTTAGCATATTTCTCCACCGTCCCCAAGGATGGTCACATGTCCCTGGATGCGTCAGTCACTCTCTCTGCCGCAGTGCTTTGCTCAACGCTCCCTCCCTCCCCTTCAGCCCACTGCCCCCCCCCCTCCATCCGGCAAAACATGCCACCAGCACACCTACTCAGTAGGGAAAAAATGGTCCATCTGGTGGTCTTTCTTTTAAGATTCATTTCTTCTTGCCCCCCTCCTTACTACTCTGTCCTCCAACTTAAAAAGAAATACATCTCTATGTTTCTATCTATATTTTCCCATCCTTTCTATGGTGTCTACAGATTCTGAGTATCTTAGTGTGGGGGGGGGTGGGCAACAACATTTCCCCTTTTCCTTTCTTTTCTGAAAGAGGCAGACCTCTAAAGACAATTTGCAGGTAAAGGCGACACCACAGCCTACACATTTTCAGGCACATTTAAAAAGCAAACCTCAAATCTTTGCTGATGGAAGCTCTGCTACCCCACTTTACAAAGACAGGCCCACCAGGAGCATCCTGCCTGTGATGCTTCCATGGATGTCCCAAAATACAAACGCTTTCAAACAAACAAACAAATGTGAAGGCACGGGCACACTAGTCCATTTTTAGAATTCCTCTTCCCAAGGCTGAATTTTCATCTTTCCAATTCAATGCATGTTCGTCTCTCACATGCGGCAATCAATGTACATCTCACAGGAAGCAGTCGCTTGATTTGCTTAATTTTTTTTAAAAAAAGAAATACGGTATATCCTCGTCTCCATTGCAAAATAACATTTTTCTCTCCCTCGTGCTCTCCTCAGGCTTACTGAGGAAAGAAACCTGATCAGAGGGCCACTCATGGGAACACCTTCTAAGCCACATATCCTAAAGCTGAAAGACTGCTCAGCTAAGCGTTTCCCCCCTCGGCATTAGTCCATCTCTGTCAAATCTTCGTTGGGGAAAGACCTTACCAGAATCACCAGAGGAAGGCTCTGCATTTCCTTGTAGTCCCTCATTCACCTTTGAGCAAGCAAGCATTAAGCTGGAAGAGTGAGTGTGGACCCTTGAAAA